TATATACGGTCCCATTGCCACAGTAAAGCACCCTGGGGGGATATAAACCAATTAGCCAAACTGTCTCTTCGTTCTCGTACACTTCGCGCACTGTTATTTGAAGCCAAACGACCTATTGGTCGCAACGGTGCCAAATCCCTACGCCATAGTCCACGATGGTAAACTCCGTTTTGGTCTTCATAGTCAACAAATCCAGTGGGACAATATTGGCGATTAGCCTCCGGAATTTGTTCCTCTTTTTTTTGCACATAATTATGCAGCACAATCGTAGCTTTGATGAATGCCTCACAATTATCGACATTTGCAATAATCGTGCGACGTAGAATTCGCCATCTCTGCACTAATATTCCAAAAGTATTTTCAATTATACGTCTCGCGCGTGAAAGACGATAATTAAAAATACGTTGCATATCATCCAGATGATCACCAGGGTAAGGACGCATAAGGTTTGTATGTAGTGGAAAAGCTGCATCACCCACCAAAAAATAAGGAACATTTATATTGGTATTTGGTAATGGACAGGGATGTGGAAGGCCCAACTGGCCATTTAGCAATGCTTTTCCAAAGGCTGATTCACGAAAAACATAAGAGTCATGGTTTCCACCAGCTGCTCCCACATCTACCATTGTGAATCTATAGTAGGCATCACAAGCAGCCATCAACACAATACTAAAACAAAAAATATATAAATAACTGTATTTATTGTTAATAATTACTAAAAAAATTTCTTACAAGTACTTTATACTTGTACTTGAAATAAAAGTAAAAATATTTGAGTACTTGGCAAGCTACAATCTGGCATACACACCTAAAATGTTTTTTATAATTAAAAAAAACAGAGCCTGAATTGGCTGGGGCTTCAATGGCTACATGTTTCCCATCAACCGCTCCAATACAGTTGGGAATATTCCAGCGGCTATAAAATTGATTTGATATCCTTTCCCATTCCATTTCATTATTTGGTGCTGGCAAATATATTGGCTGCAGTACATCCCATAAAACTCTGCATGTTTCATTTACTATTACATGTACTGTTGCATGTCCAATATAATAGTCCCATGCCAATTGCTGCATTGAGCAACCCTCTGAAAGAAAACTATTTGAGAATATACTAAATGAGTTCCTAATGTTATTCATACTGTATAGTGATTGCCAGACGTTCTGCAGGTGACAAGTGTAGTTTGTTTTTGTTGTAACGTCTCAGATGAGGTTCCACCAATTCCAGCAGGTTATCAAACTGGTCAGACGTCATCCTAGTGTATTTAAAAAATTGCTCAGGGTCTATTTCTTTCATGGCAGTAAAAAGGGTTCTAAAATGGCCCAATGTCCTGCGGGCCCTATTAATAGGTCTTACACCAAATCGTCGGATTCTTTTCTTCTTTCTTGCTTGAAGGTATTGAAAGCCTGCGACCAAAATACCCAAAATCCCCAAATGAAGGGCTACTAATTGCGTCCTTTTCAAAAGCATACTTAAAATCAAAATAACAAACAAAGAAACTTCACTTCACTAATGTCACTTATCACCCAGTCGTGCCAACATCGGTTTCAAAAAACACCAACACGTCCGCATTGCGCATGCTTACAACCTTATACTAAATGTTGTATAAATGGCACAATTTTTCGTTAAATTGCGTTACATTACGTTACGTTACATTACATTACATTAAATGATGGCTAAATCCACCTTAAGCAAGGATATGCTTCTTTTGGTGTTTCCATTTTTCCTTTGGATTTGGATGAAAACCATTTAGCAGTTACTTCGTCTAATAGAGGGCCACAACGGCTGAAATAACCGTTAAATTTTTTGAAATAACGCAGAAAATTAGTAGTTTTAACACAAACCTTGTGTAAATAGTGCTGATTTTCTCTAAACGGCTTATTAGCATAGATAAATAACTTATTACGTATTTAGACGTATAAAGTGGGGTTAGAAATGAGTACAATGAATGAGTACCAACATATTCCACCAGAAAAGTTACTAGAGCGGCTGGGATAGTTTGTTACTGGTAGCGGCTAGACGTTAGTATCATCGCGCTACTCATCAGAGTCTGATGAGTAGCGCGAAGGTGTACAGATTTTAAAATTAAACCAAAAAGTTTTAGCTCCCATTTGAAGAAAAAATGTTAGAAGAGTTTTTAGATGCATATTTTTTTTGTATTTTATTAGTTATACTTTTGTTTGACTAATTTTTTTGTCTATATTTTAGGTATTTGATATTTTATATTTGTGGTATTTTTGTAATAAAATATATTTTTTCCAAGTTATTTTTTTGTTCTACCAATATATATATAGTTTTTAGACACTCTGCCCCCCTTCTAACATATTGCCAAAGTCTTGACCTCCCTCCCCCCCAAATTCTCACTTCACACTCAGATTTTTTGAATTTTCTGTTTTTTCTAAATAAATATTTATTATTACAATAAAATTAAGAAATACATTTTAATAATTACAAAATTATTTTTAAAATTACCAAAAAAATTATTTTTGGTGTGAAACCTTATGTGATATGTCCTATTCTCATTTATAAATAATTATGAGGTATAATTATAATTAATTGGGTATTAATTATAAAAAAGTAATTAATTCGTATATTAATATACGAATTAATTACTTTTTTATAATTATAATTATAATTACTATGTTTGATAATGATACTGTACTATAGTACAGTACAGCTGTATACCGAACCAAACATCGCCGCAATTTATGATTAATGCAAGATAAAAAACCTAATTATTAGGCAAGCGTTTGTAAACATACGTTAACCTTCTTTGCCTCTACATACGTTTTCAAACATCATGTATGTTCACCGTCTATCAGAGACTCTGATGTTCACCAAACAGCGGATTTTGGAAACGGAAGACACCTATGCAGGTTTAAGAAATTCTTTGAGCCCATGCGTCTATAGACGAAATAATTGAAAGGGAATAGGGACATATTATTTTACGTAATATTATGTAGTTCATGAACATGCATGTTTATCGAAAGGGAATAGGCCTCTTAATCTGTATACACAGCACAAACCCGAAGCTTAAGAATTGCAAACAACATAAAAATGGCCGCCGTTAGAGTCTGTGCAGTGGATTGCCTTGATTTTTAGTGTGCGCGAGAAGATATATCTCTAGAACAGACCTTGTGTGGATTGTGACAATGGGGTAGTTAAATTTTTTCTGACCTATACTTTTTATGGTTTTATTCAAGGCGTTTTGTAATTTTAAACATCTTTGTGAAATCGGAATTTCAATTAAGTTTGCCGTTTTTGAGATATTTACAAAAAAAAGTCTCCTAATTACGTCACTAGGCTATTGACAACGTTGCCAGCTTTTTCTATGGTGTTTAGTTTAAGATTCTCACGATAGATGGCGCCACGTTATAATATTTTAGTTTTAAAACTACTTGATCTAAAATTTTAGTTGAGAAGAAGAAGAAGAATTGATTTTTTGACGTTTCTTTTTTTCGAGTTGTTTTTTTTAAATTTAGATTATTGAAAATCAATTATTGTTATGTTATTTGTAATTGATATTAGATAAGTGATTTATTAATAACGGACTCCAAAGCAGAGGAATCTTGTGGAATGGTTTGTTACATTGAACATTGGAGCTTTTAAACAAATAAAGTAAATACCTATAATTATAATCATATTTTGTCGTAAATGCATTTCATTAGTATAATGCCTAGTTCTTTATATTCTTTTAGATATATCTTGGACTCTAAAATATCAAACAGTAATATGATACCTCGTTATAAGTAAGATAGGTACTTAATGAATTTGGTGACCATCTTTCACTCAACTGACAGTGACAGTATTTGTACATAACCTCTTCGGGTATTTTCTGACATAACCGAATGAAATCATTAACAAGACAACTTGACAACAGGGTAATTTTCAACCAATAGAAATCTTAGAATGTTGGTCACATGGTGAGGTTTGTGACGTCATAAAAATGTATATTTTTTTTAAATATCTCGAAAACTGTAAACTCAATTGAAATTCTGATTTCACAGAAATGTTTAATATTACAAAACCCCTTGAATAAAACCATAAAAAGTATAGGTCAGAAAAAATTTAACTACCCCATTGTCTTAAGCCTCGTACAGACTTGAGCATTGAGCCGAACAACGAACCGAACGGCAAACAGAACACTAATTTGGACGGGGCTGCGAACGCGTTTGCGAACATGTTCGCGAATCCTGACCGTTCGGCGAACGGTTCGTCCCGTTCCCATCACTTGTCGGTTTTTCCTTCGACATCAAAGGAAATGCTCGCGAATGCGTTCGGAGGTTTGGACGGGTCAAAACAAAACGGCGAACAAACCAGTGAATTGTTCTCATTTAAGTGTTTATTTGTCTCCTCCTTTAAGTAAGTTAGTTTATTTTAATATAATTAAAATTCAACACAAGTAAATGGAGTGGACAGAAGAAAAATCTATAATCTATAATTGATATTTATCAAAAAAAAAGAGTTGTGGAAACCAAAACACCCACACCATTTTTTCTTTTGATTTAATAATGAATAATGAATAAATATATAAGCTGCTGCTGCTACACTTTTTTCCATCTTTAGTAAAACTTTAACTGAGATTTACTACGAGCAATTATGGGAACAGCACGAACGTTCCGTTTGTTGTTCGGATCGTCGAAATCAAAAAAGGCCATTTGCCGTTCTGTTTGCCGTTCGGTTCGTTGTTCTGCTTGTTGTTCGGCTCAATGTTCAGGTCTGTACGAAGCTTTAAGTTCAACTATTTTTGTTGTCAACGCGCATGCTTACGGAGTGCGATACGGGAATCTATAAATTGACTTTTTACAAGACATGCAAATCGTACCGCCAAGTGGCCAGAAAAAAGGAAGGAAGGCAATCTATAAATCAGGCTTAAAGGACTAGACGGCATGCACTTTTTCTTATATTTGCAACACGGTTCAAAATAAAAGATTAACAAAAAATCAGTGCTGGCAAATTTGTTTTTTTATGCGAAGTTTACAACACTGGGTTTTGTTTAAAACTAGGTGTTGGTAAAAGTGGTTACTGACTTTACCTTCTTTCACATTTTAACCATCATGGTGAGTGATACTTGTTTTTATATTAATTTAAAATCTTTAAATTTATTCATCATCCCTTTGTAAAATATACTTGAATAGTGTTTAAAAGAACAAAAGTAATCCTTTTTAAATTATTTCCTGCATATTTTGAGTTTTATTATAGAAATAATATAATAATTGTTTACAAAGATTTGTTAGGTTAACACAAATGGTTTTTTTAGTCTACACATAAAAAGAAAACCAGGAAGCTTAGAGGGCATGTAAGCCATGGACACGGACGTATTGGTAAACTATTATATTAATTTAGTATAACATTTTGATAACTATGATGACTTTTGAACGGGCGGTATGAGTACAACCATTTGATTAATGTTCAAGTTCTGATTAGCTATTAACCCTTTTAGATATTTTTTATATTCTATTGTATGTTAACTATTTTTTTTCTCTAGGCAAGCACCGTAAGCATCCTGGAGGTCGTGGTAATGCTGGTGGTCAGCACCACATGAGAATTAACTTCGACAAATACCATCCAGGTTATTTCGGAAAGGTAAGTTCTTATACTTTTAGTTCTCAACATTTATCATTAAAGTGCAGTTTTTGTATAGTGTTTAATTAGGATTTTGTTTTTAGTTGGGTATGAGAAATTACCATTTAAGACGTAACACCAAATGGTCTCCATCTATTAACTTGGACAAATTGTGGACTCTTGTTAGTGAACAAACAAGACTAAAATACAAAGACCACCCTGATGGCAAAGCTCCAGTAATTGACATTGTTAAAGCTGTAAGTAATATTTATGAACTAAACATTAAAAACTGATGGTTCAAACAAATTTTTTAATACACTTGAATAACAGAAGTTCACCCAATGGATTTTTTCTATTCCAATATGTCCTTTATATTATGATTTTAGTTTTAAATTCCATAAATTTATTGCTTAAAATTTCACGAGGCTTATCTAAATTCATGTGAAAAATAAAATGTCTGGATTTAAAAGAAATGATCCAACATTAACCCCTTACTGGTATGGTACAACTTTCAGGTCATAAACGGGGTCTGAGAGACACCTCCCTTTTAAAATTATAATTTTTATTATTTTTTTTATCTGAGGCTTTGGGGATACTAGGAACTATATATTAAGTTAGACTATCACCAAAAATAATACCTAAATAAAAGACAAATTTAAACAAATAGGTTTTAATCAAAACATGAACAAAAAGTGCAGTAGTGCAAACTTAGTGATAAATTTTTTTTTTAAATATTAAACCAAACAAAATTAAACAATCTTTATTTCGAAGAATATAACTTAAAAAATAACAAGCAAAAAATATTTAAATATATCTTTTTTTAACAGCAAAAATAACTGCTTCAAACTATAGCTGATTTTTACAATTATTTTTTCCATAGTAACTTTTTGTTTTTTAAATTTTTAAAAAATTTCAAATTCTTCACTATCTGACCCTATAAAATTATTTTCTTTAGAATCTTCACAGACAAGTCCTGAATCGCTGCTGTGATTATCTTCAATGACATAATCACTATAGTGGTTATGTAGTAGACTACAGTGATCTATATCAGTTATATTGCTGTCGATTTCATAAAACCACTGCATTACAGTTGCCTCGAAGCCCTTCTTATCAATAATGAATTAATTGTTTTATAAAAACAACGTAAACGGTACAAAGTGTACTACTAGACACTTTAATACTTTGACTTGTAATAATTTGTCAGTTTGACAATCCAACCTGTTCAAAGTCTGAGAGCATATTGACAACTGCTCAACTTAAAGTATTGGAAGCGACAGATTTTTAAAACTAAGGTGACCAGATTCTGTCAAAAAATAGCGGGATATTTTGAGTAAATTAACCTTAATTACAAAAATGACAATCAACAATAATTAAGTAACATCAAATTGACAATTTGCATTGTATCATTGTGTCAATTTTGTAAATTCATGCCAAATGTCCTTTTTTGACAGAATCTGCAGTGGGATTCTGTAAATAAAAGAAATAGAAATGGAAATAGAGATAGCAAAGAAATAGAAAGACATTTCCTTTTTACAACCTATTCTGTATGACGATTTCTTTCTTGGCCGACGGTGTTCGGTTTTTAGATCGGTAATGTTCGACTGAAAGAAATTTACTGTACTACCTATGTTAAAAACATTCATATTCTAGTAACTTTTTAAAAATCCCTAAGATTTGTACCAATTTCACATAGTAATTTTTCGTTTTTAAGTTTAAGGTACTAAAAAATGGTTTTAACCTAAAAATAATAATATTTATTCTATGGTTATAATACTTATTTTGTGATTGTTTATAAATCTTTTTTTTAACCATGCTCGTAACTGTGTTGAAAGTTGCATAGATCTGTGGAAATCGAGATACAGTCCGCAGGTTTGTGGCATAATAAATGCATGTGTTGTGCTGCACAATATTTGTGTACGAAACGGCATGCCGTAACGTTAGTCCAATTCATTGTTCATTGAAATATAAATTAACAATTGCATTTCGCGAACGGACTTCTTCATTTAGAACATTGTGCTCACCAACAATTGGATCATCTAAGGGGATGCATGAGTCCGTTCGCGAAATGCAATTGTTAATTTATATTTCAATGAACAATGAATTGGACTAACGTTACATCGTCAAGAAACAAACTGAAATGATCAATAATATTTTATCCTTTAATAATAATAGCTATTATTATTATTTTATTTGCTAATTATTTCATATAATATATATTGCTTAAAAAAAATGATGTGATGTTTTTTTAGATTTAATAACTATTTATGTAATTTTTATATCTATTGACATGTGTAACTTAACACGAAATAAATAATTGAATTGAATAGTTAGTATAGTATATACTTACCTACATACTTTTTTTATATACTAAAATACTTTGTTTTGCTTACGTATACCGAAAGAATTAAAATATAACCTTTAAAAGTTGCTTATTTATGTTGGAAATGTCAAAAACCCTCTTTCTATTTCTATCCGTTCGGCTACGAACGATGGTTCACGGAAACGCACGAAGTGACTTACAGAATAGCGATTTGGTAATAAATATAGAAAGAAATTTATTTCTATGCTCTATGTGCTTACAGAATCCCACTGCTGGTCACTTTATTAAAACAAAAGGTGAGGGTGTGACAGCGCTTTTTGTTCTGTGTTCAGGGAAATGACCTTTAGCTTAATTTAAAAGCTATTTGGCCAGCACATTATATTATTAAAAATTTCTTTATTATGATCAAGGGTCTTATTTAAAAGAATCTGAGATTAACTCATCCCTTGCATCATTTATATATTCTTAATTATTTATCAATTTTTATAGAACCATGCCATCTTTTCGCTTCACTATGTACACATGGCTTCATACACAGAATTTTCCAATTGTTCTTAAATTTTTTGCTGTTCAGATTTGAGGTTAGGAAGTTGTATTTGATATCAATAAATTGTTATTTTGATTTAAAATAATTAAAAATATTTGGACATAAGAAAAGAAAATTTTGAAAGTTTCCTATATTGTGGTAAATCTTACATATGTATTTACTTACTTCAAATTATAATTAAACTTAAGATGTTATCCTGAAAAATTTCAATTTTTGAGGTGTGTAACTTTTCAACTAGTTTTTTATGTAAACAATTTGGTTTATGCATTGAATAAAATTGTAAATGACATTTACACAAAACCTTGAAAGCTTGCTACATCTAAATTGTGTGGCAATGTTGCACTTTTAAAGGAAAGTTAGGATTAGCTTGAAAGGTCCAAATAGCTTGCTATATTTAAATTCTTAAATTTGTTAAAAAAATTTAAAAACATTACCAATTTAAAATATAATTGACAATATTTTCAGATCCACATATGTAATTGCTCCAATTTTTAGAATGTGTCATTTTTATAATAAAATATATACATTTGTTGATCAAACAGCCAGCAAAACTTGCGATGTGTAATCAGTGGCATCAAACACAATTCTAAGATGTTTAATAGAGCCTAAATTGTTTTATTTATACTTTGTCAAAATTTTGTGATAATTATCATAATTTTTAGTGAAGGTTTACCTCATATTATAATTTATTTAAATTACCCTGTAATTGGTCCTGTACTGTTGGGTTAATAAATTTATTTATTTATTTAAGCTGCAACCATGCTAATAAACAATATGAAATATTAATATATTTATTAAAATACCAAAGGTTACAATGTTGAAAATAACATGTTTTTTTTTAAATAGTTCTTAAACCTATTATTTGGCAGATTATAATAGCTTTTACAGTTTTTAAATTAGTGAATTAGTACAACACTGTCTGGTCCTAATAAAAAAAATTTAAAAATGCTTTTGAGTAGGGTGCCATCACAGTAATCGAAACAACCAGTAGGGAATCTTAGTGTCGCGACATGTCGGCGCCTTTTATGTTATTAACAATAAAAATTATCTTTATATGTTTTCTTAATCATTGTATGTAAGGCATGTTTGCTTAAGGCTCACTGCACCTTTTATTATAAGGCCATCAAATGCTGATATTTAAAATACTAAAGGATATAGGGAAAAATTATCAACAAAATAAAATTGTTTTGTATTATATTGATTCTGTACTATTAGTATTTTCTTTAAAAGTGCACTAAAGATCCAATGCACCTTTTAGAATACTTAAATTAAAGTTACGGGGTTAAGAAAATTAAGTCCTCTTATTTATTTTTATTTTATTTTTACTGTATTTAAATGATGATTGATATGAACGGGCGGTCAGAAGCATACTGTTGAATGTTCATTTACTGATTTATATTTTATTAAAATTTATATCAATATTTGCAAGATTTATTGTTTTTTAATATAAAACTATTTTTTACAGGGTTACTACAAACTTTTAGGCAAAGGACGCCTTCCACCTCAACCTGTTATAGTTAAAGCTAAGTTTTTCTCAAAATCTGCTGAAGATAAAATTAAAGCCGTTGGAGGTGCTTGCGTTTTATCAGCTTAATTTTGTAAAAACAATAAATTCATAAAATAATTTAAATTCCTGTTTTTATTTTCCTGTGCGTATAAAACTTTAAATAGTTATTTATGTATCAAGGCAGTAAAGTCGTATTTTTTATCACGAATGTGAAAATTATTTGCAGAGGCGAAAGCCGAGACAAATAACCACGTGAGTGATAAAAAATGACTTTAATGGCGAGGTGCATATTTTATCCAATAGTTAATAATACTAATAATTAATATTGATGATTAAATCAAATGTCATTTGAATGTAGTGTCGACGGTTATTATATATTTGCCCGCCGCGGAGATTTTTTAATCTTATTAAAATTAACTTATTATTTTTATTAAACAACATTTTATGAAAGGGTCCAATCGACCTCCGCGACTGCTTTTTTTAAATAATATTTAAAGTTCTACTTTACTGCCAATTTCTTTTACTTTACTGCCGATTTCGGATAAAGGTTTTTTTCATGCCAAAGTAAATACCGTAAAACGGGGTAAATAAACATAGTTTTCAGTGTAATTGATATTCATATGGAAAATATGTTGAGCAACAGAATTTTAAAAAAGTAATGATTTTCTATTGACCCTCCAGGTGGGGTCAATAGAAACAGTATGTACTTTGACAGGTGAATAAAAGCAATTAAGGAGAAAAATCAGGTTTATCTTCAAGTGTTTTATAATTTAAGCTTTATTATTGTCAACTCTTACTACCAAAGTATAAATAATTTAGACCAACTATGTTAAGTTTTTTACATCCTAGTCTGTAAAAAAGCCGTTAGAACCATCTTTTTCTGTAGATCTTGGCCTTAATTTACCTGATGACCAGGGGCGTGCTGGACCGCCGGGACACCGGGAGAAATCCCGGTGGTCCGGAGGGCTAAGTGGGCCGGTGTGCCGGAGGGCTATGTAGGCAGCATGCCGCAGCACGTGGTCAATTAAAAACTTTATTAGTTGAGTTATGTATAAATATCATAATTATTTTACACATACCATGCATGCCAGCCTGCCAGCTTTGTTTCTTTTTTCGAGATTGTATATTGTTTATAAGTTTCCTGAGCGATGAAAATTTGTATTAGTTTTTATTTTAAGTGCAATGCTATATGTTTTAGCATTGTGTAAAATATTGTCTGGTTGTGTTAAACTTTGTTGCCTGTTTTTTTTTCAAGAATTTAATTTATACTTTATGTTATTAATTGAGGGGCCTAGAAGTAAAAGGGTTTAATTAAGTGCATTTTTGTTAGTTCTGAGATAAATGGCTTTAAAGTTAACTTGAATTTTAAAATTCTAGAAAAGAGTTTAAAAAACTGTGAATATTTTAGTTTTGTTTAAAGACTAAAAAGGATTATAAAGAAAAAGGAATTTTTCAATTTCGCTTTTTTGTTAATTTTTTTTACAAAAATGTACTTGAATCGTCATGCATGTAAGACAAAATTTAGTGGTAAAATGATTTAAATGCAATTACTTTACTAGAACAAAACTTTATTTTTTAAAATTTGGGTAATTACCCAGAAAACATACTAGTCCGGCCATGCAAGGGCACATAAATGGGCCATTGCATTATGTAATGGCCCAGTAATGCGCCGTTGCATGGCCGGAATAGTGTGTTTGCTGGGAAGTTTTACAACAAAAAGTATTATTCATAATCAAAATCTAATACAACGTTTTCTTCATCTGAATTAGCTGGTCTTGGTTGGGGTTGACCTAAATTGGATTTTTTTTGGCTCAATAGGGCTATGGTCTTAGTTTGTTTCTTTTTTTTCTGATGGATCTCGATCGTACTCTATGTTTTTATAAAATAAGTGGTAAATTGGCGAAATATAGTCCAATAAGGCACCTAAAGCGGCTTTTTTTTAGTTTTTGCTGGAGTTACATGGCCTTCTTCTTCTACTTCTTCATTGATGTCAGGAACATAGTTACTATGTTGAATCCTCATCAGTCTGGACCGATGCCATAATCGTAACGCTGGCCGATGTCGTTCCGACCCCGGTCACACTATGTCGAAACGAGCTACTTGTCAAGGCTTTAGCAGCATAGATAATAGCCTATGTTTAGTAAAAGGTGCACTTAAATCGTTTTACCAAAGATATATTTTAAAATATTTTGCCAGGTTTTTAAAGACGATAAGAAATGGCGCCAGGGAATGTAAAATGTACTTATATAATTTTACCACTAAGTTAGAATATTCTTTAGGTGTGATATTCTGCACTTAGACCATTTATTTAAAAAAGTGCACTTGTACCGTTTTACTTCCAAGCCCCTCAATTATTAATAAATGTTTGAAATTTTTTAACTCAAAAAAAATTCAGAAAAATCGGCCAACTACACACGAAAAATGGGGGGTGAACAAAACCAAGTGGTTTTGTTCACCCCCCATTTTTCGTGTGTAGTTGGCCGATTTTTCTGAATTTCCCGGGCCGGTCTGATATAGCCAGCACGCCCCTGCTGATGACAGATCTAAGCTATCCAACCTCGCTTAAGCGATACTTTTTTTAATAACAATTTTTTTTTTTAATTAAGGTGCGTCGACTGCTGCGGTCATTCTTGTTATAATAATTATTGTAAATACGTTTTATGTATTGTTAAAGAAATAAAACTGTCTTAAAGATAAAATGTATGCCAAGACGTGTCTTTTTGTGCCCTTGCTATAACGCGTCGGCACAAAAAGACTCAAGCCTCATTCAGAACCTCGAAATTAGTGGAAAAAATTAGTGGTTTCAATTATACTTATAATTACCCTGCTGAAAAAGCCGGGTGATTGCAGGCATGTGCGGGTGAAAAACCAAGCTGGTTTTACGCCCGGTTTTATATGTTTTTTGCCTGCCATACCAGATTTTGCCCGCACGCCTGCTTTCACCTGCGCTGCCGGGTGTAAATATCACCCGCAAACGCCCGGCATTGACGTTAATTATATATAAGATTATGTTTTCGCCTGATTTCACCCGCGTTTGCCTGCATTTTGATTTTCTGTTTTTGTCTGCATTCGCCCGGTTTCATCCGCGAACGTACGTTTTTACATGCGTACGTCTGCATTCGTCCGCGAACGTCTGCTTTAACCCGCGAACGTCTGATTTCACCCGCAAACGTCTTCTTTTGCCTGTTTTCACCCGCAAACGTCTACTTTTACCTGCAAACGCCTGCTTTCAACCGCAAACGTCTGCTTTTACCTGCGAACGCCTGATTTTATCCGCGAACGTCTGCTTTCATACTTTTTCACCCGCAAACGTCTGCTTTCACCTGCGAACGCCCGGTTATACCTGTCTTTCGCCCGGTTAGTGCAACCTCGCAATCATCTGAAATCACCCGCGATCGCCGGCATTTAGTTTTATCTACTTTCGCCCGGTTTCATCCGCAAACGTCTCCTTTCGTCTGCGAACGCCTGCTTTCATCTGCGTACGTCTGTTTTTACCCGCAAACATCTGCTTTTGCCTGTTTTCACCCGTAAACGTCTACTTTTACCTGCAAACGCCCGCTTTCACCCGCAAACGTCTGCTTTTACCCGCGAACGCCTGATTTCATACTTTTTCACCCGCAAACGTCTGCTTTCACCTGCGAACGCCCTGTTATACCTGTCTTTCGCCCGGTTAGTGCAACCTCGCAATCATCTGAAATCACCCGCGATCGCCGGCATTTAGTTTTATCTACTTTCGCCCGGTTTCATCCGCTAACGTCTCCTTTCGTCTGCGAACGCCTGCTTTCATCTGCGTACGTCTGTTTTTACCCGCAAACGTCTGCTTTTGCCTGTTTTCACCCGCAAACGTCTACTTTTACCTGCAAACGCCTGCTTTCACCCGAAAACGTCTGCTTTTACCCGCGAACGCCTGATTTCATACTTTTTCACCCGCAAACGTCTGCTTTTACCCGCGAACGCCTGATTTCATACTTTTTCACCCGCAAACGTCTGCTTTCACCTGCGAACGCCCGGTTATACCTGTATTTCGCCCGGTTAGTGCAACCTCGCAATCATCTGCAATCACCCGCGATCGCCGGCATTTAGTTTGATCTACTTTCGCCCGGTTTAATCCGCAAACGTCGGCTTTCGTCTGCGAACGCCTGCTTTCACCTGCGTACGTCTGTTTTTACCCGCAAACGTCTGCTTTTGCCTGTTTTCACCCGCAAACGTCTACGTTTACCTGCAAACGCCTGCTTTCACCCGCAAACGTCTGCTTTTACCCGCGAATGCCTGATTTCATACTTTTTCACCCGCAAACGTCTGCTTTTACCCGCGAACGCCTGATTTCATACTTTTTCACCCGCAAACGTCTGCTTTCACCTGCGAACGCCCGGTTATACCTGTATTTCGCCCGGTTAGTGCAACCTCGCAATCATCTGCAATCACCCGCGATCGCCGGCATTTAGTTTGATCTACTTTCGCCCGGTTTAATCCGCAAACGTCGGCTTTCGTCTGCGAACGCCTGCTTTCACCTGCGTACGTCTGTTTTTACCCGCAAACGTCTGCTTTTGCTTTCACCTGCGAACGCCTGCTTCGCTTCGTCTAAGAACGCCGGCAAACGTCGGCTTTCGTCCGCGAACGTCTGCTTTCACCTGCGTACGTCTGTTTTTACCCGCAAACGTCTGCCAAATTTATTGGATTTTGACATTGTTTCGCAAAACAGAAATTAAGTCTTCATTAAAAAAAATTAATAAACATTTTTTCATTATTATAATAAAAATGTTTATTAATTTTATAAACAGGCAGGTAACTGCATGTGCTATGTTTTTCTATCTCATGAGCTAAGGCACCTGCGCAGAAAAGCACGGTTGTCGTTTATTTTTACTTCTTAAAAACCGTACTCGGAGGCCGTTGAAGGTGGACACTCGAAATTGGCATCCTTTTTTTGTGCCCACGAGACCTACCCGCGGACCATCCGGTGTCAAAAAGGCCCAAGTCCACTTTTTTTCGATTTTTCTGTCAAATTTTGCCCGACATGTCAAGTGACGGATGTCAAGTTGACAGGTGACAGATGACAAATGATAGGTGGCAGATGACAAATGACAGATGACAGGTGAAAGGTGCCAGATAACAGGTGACAGATG